AGAGGAAATATTAAAAATTTAAGAGCTATTAACTCTTAAACTGTCCAAATATAGATCTACGTTCACCTGCGTGGCGCTCCAAATATTAAGAAAAATAAAAAAAAAATTTTGTTTTTAAATTAAAGGGGCTATTTTCTGTGTGGTATAAGACAAAAAAAAAAATTTAGGACCAGTACTTACCGAGATATAAGACCATGAAGTTGGCTCTCGATGCTCACCTGACGGCAACATCCAGTCCTGCCTCTTGCAGAAGTGTTGCCGATTTACCTTTTTTTCTCGTTTTTATTTTAATTTATATAATTTTTGTTTTGATAATTACAATTTATAATAGGTCTTGTGATTTCATAGCCAATCTTTGCTCTGACACTAATATTATGTACTGAAATAGTACTCAAATTGTAACAATCACACTGACAGGTGAACATTTTCACCAGCCCTGGTCATTTACAATTGTCTAGAAATACATACAAAGTATTTATAGGTCCCAGCAATATTTTAGACATGCTGGAATATAAACCTTGAATAACGGTGTTATGACAGGGGTCAGATAAGTGACATTTGATGCATATGCCCTGCTGGAGGGAACCTTGCCTCTATATAATTTTACTCTTGCACATAAACATGTCTTTGTATGTCTGTCTGTCAGTCTGCCTGTCTGTCTGCCTGTCTGTCTATCTGTACATCTATCTCTCAGTATCTGTACATCTGTGTGTCTACCTCTGCTTATCTGTCTAGTTCTGCTTATCTGTCTTTCTGTCTGCCTGTGTGTGCATCTGTCTTTCCATCTGCTTGTCTGTGTCTCAGGGACTGGCTAATAAACCTATTGGTTTGTGGTGTATGAGCTGCTCCCTGATTGCTGAGCAAGTGACACTGCTATTATTTGCATCATGTTTATTTATGTCTTATAGTATCTACAAACACTGTATAGCACTTGGCCTGGAATTTTTGGGTTATCCTAGGTAATTTACATTACATATAATTGTATTTATGAGTATATGTGAGAGGCAGAGATGCAAACAGTGATACAGACAGAGATATAGACAGATACAAACAGAGACAGCCAGCTAGCCAGCCGAATACATAAGAACATAAGAAAGAAGGAACACTGCAGCAGGCCTACTGGCCCATGCAAAGCAGGTCCATGTCACCTCCCTGGCTTAGACCAATGACCCACCTAGTCAGGTCACATCCACTGAAAGAAAGAATACAACATCTGACCCAGTAGCACAAGCTAATCAGGTCCAATTCACACCCACTCACACCCACTCATACATTTATCTAACCTATTTTTACTTTCCTCTTAAAATGTGAGCGTTAATATGACGTAAGTGAATCACTGGTGTTTGCCATGCTATTTACTTTAGCTGGCACTCAGTTGAACTGGTGCTCCCACAAGGTACTAAGTGGTCCCGATTTTTTTCATAGTGCGCACAATGAGTGCACAGCCCCATTCTTTCTTGTCTAGGCGACTCAGGCCTATCGTACCAAATTTGAAGGAATGGAAAATAAAATGTTGATCTACGTTCGGAGCCCACCGCACGTGAATGTATATCTACGTGTGGACAGTTTAAGGGTTTAAAACGTACACAACAGAGTAATGATACAATGGTAAGAATAAAAAAATATTTTTGTCCCCTTCATATTAAGGTGTGCCACAACTCCAGATACAATCCACACACAGTGTGTAATAAACATGTAAGTAATCTATCATATCGTTAATGAGGAACAACATTAGGTTCCCCGACCCACTCAAGATTTGTTAAAAACAAAAAGATGCATAGTACAGAACAAGCTTATACTGGTGTGTATAGAGCTTTATCAAGTCATGACTTGATAAAGCTCTATACACACTGAAATGGTGCCCCAATAAGTTTGTCTGAAATGTGTCTATTCTTTAATATTGTTGTATTCCATTTGGATCATCAAGATTTGCTCTTAATAATAATAATAATAATAATAATAATAATAATAATAATAATAATAATAATGATAATAATAATAATATCTTTATTTACTACAAGTACATGTACATGGTATACAGGCCTAGCTAACAACAATGACATACTACTGCATAGATATCCCCTTGTTATGCTCAGCATTTCGGGCAAATTAGGTCAGTGTCCCAGGATGCGACCCACACCAGTCGACTAACACCTAGGTACCCATTTTACTGATGGGGAACATAGACAACAGGTGGAAAGAAACACGCCCAATGTTTCTACTCTGGCTGGGAATCGAATCCAGGCCCTCGCCGTGTGAAGCGAGAGTGTTACTGAAATACCAATCCCATCACCATCTGCCTCTCTTCCTCTAATTAATACTTATCCATGCATCACAAGAAACAACTTCCAGTGAGCAAGGCAGCACCACAACTTAATACAGCACTGTAAAATCTTTACATTATTTTAGTGTATTTTCTGGTTTCAATAACCAAAAATTAGATGAGAATTATTTTATGTTGTTTGCAATGAAAATAGCACAAATTTTCTTGAAAAAGGTGGGACACGTTTACAATTATAACATGGGTTTTTTTATGAAAAATGGGCTCAGAGCTCCGAACACTTGAGATACAATTTTCTGAACTGCATCTGATTTGTTTGGTAGTTGGGAGTTTTCTCTAGTTCTTGTTCCCATATTTCCTCTCCTGGTCTATGACTGGAACATAGAGGTGAGTAGAAGTACAGTACATTTATCAATGACTGTTTTTACAGAGTTTGCACTGTAAAAACAATCAACCAGAATTTTTTTTAAAACGGGTACTTCCAAGGATCACCCAAAAGAAATAGCTAAATTTAACCGTGCATAATACATATCACCCATCATCACACTTTTGTAATTTTCACTTTCTTTTCTCTCATTTTTTTTTAACCTAAAATACTGTTTTATATGAACAAAAATATATCAACTTTATTAGATAAAGAGAACTGCAGCATTAACATACTAAGTAGGTTGACTACGTACTATAAATACAGATCTCAAGAAATCTCTCTCTCTGAATAAACCAGCATAGCCATGATACAAAGCTACATGTTATAACTTTCACCTTACCAGCTCTTGCCCTTTCCTGCTATTGTAATTAGTAAAAAAACTGAATCCATCTTTGCCATATCCCTTCAAGAGCACCATACGAGCTGAAGGTTTGCCACACCTGGAAAACGTAATTCAGCAATGTAAAGTTTATCAGCTATACTGAATCAATATGAATATCTTCAAGCATTTATAAGTTTATTCTCTATAAGGATTACAATGCTGAGTTTACAGAATTTGGTTATTGTGTGGTTTACATGTAGTAAAATACTAATTACAGAGGGGGCCACTAGAACACCTAGCATGGCTAGGCATTTCGGGCAGACTTAGATTAATTCTTAACTTTAAAATATTACAAATTATGAGGTAAGTTGGTATTATGGCTAAGTGACTAAATACTAGTTTGTGAGTTTAGCAATGTGAATGCTTTTGTTTTGGCACAATACATAGTTTCAGTATTGGAGTATCACAGGCCAACTTATGACTAGTTAGGATTCATTATTTTAAGATTAAGGTTGATATTTCTGTTTATGGTCAAATGTGAGAGTGAGTGTAAGTGTGAACCACCAGGTGGTATTCATGTAATTAGTTGACAGGGTGTATCAGGGAGATAAGATGTTTTCTAATGGTAGTTTTGAAGGTGATGAATGTGTCTGCAGTTCTAGAGTTTTCAGGTAGGGTGTTCCAGATTTTAGGGCCTTTGACATACATTGAATTTTTTTAAAGGTTTAGTCGGGCACGGGGAATGTCATAGAGATGTTTGTGTCTAGTGTTATGCCTGTGGGTTCTGTCAATTATCAAGAAAGCATTTTAGGTCAAGGTTAATATTGGAATTTAAGGTCCTGAAGATGTAGATTTCACAGTAGTAAGTGTGGATGTACTGAACAGGGAGTAAGTTTAGATCTATGAAGAGTGGGGGGGGGTGTTACCAGGGATGGGATTTAGTAATTATTCTTACTGCAGCTTTTTGTTGGGTTATTATTGGCTTTAGGTGTGTTGCTGCAGTTGATCCCCAAGCACAAATAGCAAAGGTAAGGTATGGACAAATAAGTGAGTGGTTTTAGTGTGAGAAGGGCATTTTGCGGCACGTAGTATCGTATCTTGGAGAGGATCCCAACCGTTTTGGATACTTTTTTGGTTATGTGTTGGATATGGGTGCTGAAATTCAGGTTGTTGTCGAGGTATAGGCCTAGGAATTTGCCCTCATTATGTCTGGCAATTAGTGTTGTCGATCTTAATGTTAATTTGCGCAACTCCTGCTCTGCTACCAAACATAATATAGTAGGTTTTGTCAGTGTTAAGCATAAGTTTATTGGCTGTCATCCAAGTCAATATTTTGAGCAGTTCCTCATTAACAATGGTGTTGAGGGTGGCAAGATTAGGGTGAGAGATGACCTAAGTCATGTCGTCAGCAAAGAGAATGGGGTTTAGGTGTTGGGATACGTTTGGAAGATCATTGATGTTTATGAGGAAGAGCAGGGAACCAAGGACACTTCCCTGCGGAACTCCAGTATCAAGTGGCCATGTTGATGATGCTGTGTCTTTAATGGTGACATACTGATACCTATTAGCAAGGTAGGATTTGAAATATGCAAGCGCATGGCCTCTTATACCATAATGGTCAAGTTTGTGGAGTAGGATGCCGTGGTCTACTGTGTCAAAAGCTTTTCTTAGGTCAATAAAAATTCCTAGTGGATATTCCTTATTTTCCAATGCTGTGTAAAGCAGATCTAGCATTTTTATAATTGCATCATTAGTGCTTTTATTTTTCCTGAATCCAAGTTGGCAGGGGTTGAGTATGTTTTGTGTCGTTATAAATGAATATAGTCTCCTGTGCACGAGTTTCTCAAAGATTTTGGATAGCAATGATAAGTTTGATATTGGCCTATAGTTGTTTAAATCTGTAGGGTCACACAAACTATTTTTATTTTATTTTTTTGTTCTATTTATACACCAAACAATACAATATTGCATTTCTCTTGTTCAGAATTCTCGAAAATATGGAATTTAAATATAGAATGATCTGCAATTAAGGATTTTGTAAAAAAAAAACAGTGAAATATTAACATAAAAAGAATGATTTCAAATGCATAGCAGACCTTTAATTTAATGAACTTTGAAAATATGGGACACTGATTGATCAATTGATTCAAAAACAATGAAGTCCACTGGTTAAAGAATTCTCCATTACTTTTATAATCAAAGCAAAATAATTTCATGTCTATACATAGCAATCTCCATACACATGGCACATATTAACCAGATTAGAGCAATGAAGAGATATGGCATCTAAAATACAATATGTCTCCATCAATGACAAAATCTCATCAACCAGACCAATTAACAGGGGGGTGCCTCAGAGCAGTATCCTTGGTCCTCTGTTGTTCTTAATCTACTGTACTGTATATCAATGACCTTTCCAACACATCTGACGAACTTAAAACGTTCTATTTGCAGATGACAATTTTTTCCTTCTATTCATATCAGGTTTCTCTCACTAACACTGTTAACCCTTTGAGGATTTCGGACGTACTAGTACGGCTTACAACCCAGGGTTTTTGATGTACTAGTACGCCTAAATTCTAGCGCCCTCAAATCTAGTGGGAGAAAGCTGGTAGGCCTTCATATGAAAGAATGGGTCTATGTGGTCAGTGTGCACAGTCTAAAAAAAATCCTGCAGCACACAGTGCATAATGAGAAAAAAAAACTTTGACCGTTTTTTTTGGAATAAAACAGCGACTTTGCACTGTATTTTCGTATGGTATTTATTGTTGTATTCTAGTTTTCTTGGTCTCATTTTATAGAATGGAAGACATATTACAGAAATTGAGATGATTTTGACTGGTTTTACAATGAAAGATACCTTGAAATTGAGCTCAAAGTAGCAGAAATGTTCGATTTTTACTAAATTTCAAAAGTAAACAAATCGTGCCAATGGTCCAATAGACGTCAACTGGTGAGTCTAATATTCTTTCACAAGTGCGCCAATAATATTTATACCATTTTTTACACTAATGCAGTAGTCTGCATAACAGTAAATCTTATATTTTTTGTGAGAATAAAAATTCAAAGTGGAAAGCAAAAGAATACAAGAGGGGCCTTGAGACATGACTAATGACCAGAGGAAATGTCATTTTAGTGCCAGGAATGTCTTTCTTGTTTATTCTGGACCCTATTTGGAAATTGGCATCTTTTGAAATTTGTATGAAATTGGCAAAATTGCTAAATTCTGACCACTGTACTGGATAGTTGAATTTCATAAATGGGTAGTTTCTTGCACCCATTCGATAGAAAAAATGGAGTTCTAGCGAAATATTCATGTTTTTTGTCGACTAGTACAGTGGAATTGGCCGAAAATGGGGCTCAAAGTGGGCAAAATCGCCGATGCGTAAATATCCCCGAGACCGCTAACTTCGCGAGAGCATAATTCCGTAAGTTTTCCATCAAATTTCAAACTTTTGGTGTCCTTATGATCGGGAAAAGATTCTCTATCTTTTCATAAGAGAAAATTATTTTTTTTTTTAAATTTGGCCGACCCTGAGAACGAGTTTCGGAGAGGGCTTGTCGACCCTCAAAGGGTTAATAATGAGCTTGAAAAGATTTCTACCTGGATGACTACCAATACTAAATCTTAATAATGACAAGATTTTCTACATTATTATTAAAAACAGAATTACAAATGTACAACTCAGTATAATAATAAATGATTCACTCATTGTAAAACAAAAAAATGGAAAATTCTTATGCCTATACCTTAACAGCAATTTAAGATTCAACACTCACATCCAGCACATAACCAAGGTCTCCAAATTATTAGGCATCCTATGAAAGATACAATGACTAGGGTGTCAAACAACAGTAGTTACTCTGTGCTGCTACTCTAATCTATCCGTAGCTCACCTATGATATTTGTGCCTGGGGATCTACTTCAGCAAATCCTGTAAAGACAATAGTAATTTAACAAAAAGCTGTCATATGAATGATCACTCAAGCAAGTGCTAAATAACACATGCTCCCAATCATCAAAAATATAAACTTGTCAACATACAAAACATTCATTTATATTACTGTGCATACTATATATACAGGATAATCAATACAAACTGAACCTTTACTTTAAAACTCTTCCTGGAAAGCTGCAAAAGAACTCAAAGGCATAACACAAGACACAAATACTTCTTTTACACCTCTTACGTAAGACTCAACTTGAGTAAAAACTCAATATAAATAAAAGACTAAAATTTGGAACTCTACTGGAAAATGCCAAAGTCAACCACTTCAAAGCTGTTGTTAAAAAGCACCTTCTTTCCTTAATAAGAGTCATGGCAGCAATATTCTACATTCAAACACATAAGAATATAAGAAAAGGAGGAACACTGCAGCAGGCCTGTTGGCCAATACTAGGCAGGTCCTTTACAACCCATCCCACTAACAAAACATTTGTCCAACCCAATTTTCAATGCCACTCAAGAAATAAGCTCTGATAATTCTATCCACTCTCATATGCAAGTCCCACTCAAATCCAACCCCTCTCACTCATGTATTTATCCAACCTAAATTTGAAACTACCCAAGGTTTTAGCCTCAATAGCCCAACTAGGTAGACTGTTCCACTCATCAACTACCCTATTTCCAAACCAATACTTTCCTATATCCTTTCTAAATCTAAACTTGTCTAATTTCAATCTATTACTGCGGGTTCTCTCTTGGAGAGATATCCTCAAGACCTTATTTATATCCCCTTTATTAATACTCATCTTCCACTTATACACTTTGATCATGTCTCCCCTCATTCTTCATCTAACAAGTGAATGTAATTTAACCCGTAAATGGTCCAAGCAGATGTACGTTCACATGTGTAGTGCTACAAAAGTAGATCTACATTTTTTTACATATTTTCAAATGTAACAAAAAAAAAAGTAGATCTACTTTTTTTACATACTTTCAAATGTTGAAAAAACGTATATATACGTTTGGACCGTTTACGGGTTAGGGGTCTTCAATCTTTCTTCATAAGGAAGATTTCTAGTGCTATGTATTAATTTAGTCATTCTACGCTGAATGTTTTCTAACGAAGCATGCTTATTGAATTTTCATCCATTATTCATCCTCCTGTACAACTTGTATCCTCTATTATTTCTACTCCCTTATACTGTAGCAAATGCTTCAATTCATCATTCAGAGATGGTGAACCAAGAATTTTACATTGAATAATTATTGTATTTAACTTCTTATATCCATGTCTGCTGAAATAATCTTCAGAGAACGTGCATTGCATTATATTATATTCTAAGTTCATAAATTACTTCCACTCACCCTTTTACAACAAGGCAATTACAATCTGTTCATTTTACGAATTATGTTGTAACCTGTATCTCTTTTTTTAACTTCTTGTTAATATCATCTAAAAAATAATAAATCTATCTGGTATTTAAAATTAGACAAGTCTTACCCAAAATGCTGTACATGCTATGGACTTTCTGGCTATTGTGAATTCAGCGATTAGACATAGACAATCTAACTTTAATGAGCCAA